ATCATCCATCCATCTCACTTTTGGGTATTTATCTGAAGAATACAAAGCATCAACTAAATACATACATATATAGATATAGATATAGATATAGATACAGATATAGCTATATGCTCTATAATGTCTATTGCAGCATTATTTACATTACCTAGGATTTGGAGACCTATTGAGAGAAGACTAGATAAGGAAGATATGAGAGATCCACAAAAAGAAATACTATTCAGCTATAACAAAAGATAAAATGTTACTATGTATAACAAAATGGAACAAGCTGAAGAGAATTATGTGTGCTTAAGATAAATATTGGGCAATTTTCATATATATGAGCAAAATAAGGAATCCTAAATGAAGAATTATAAACTAGTAGACACTGCCATTGACAGTGAGGCTTCTATAATTAAGAAGTAGAGGAGTGGGAGACAGGCCAAAAGGGTAGAATGATGGGCAGAAATTTAAAAAATAAAGTAAGTGGATTTAAGAAACAAACACAAGCATGCTGAAAGAAACAAACCAATCACAAAGGAACAATTAAAATAGATTTTAAGTATAACTAAAAAGGTGAAATAATTTTGAAAAGGACATAAATCATGAAATTAGCACTTGTAAGGACAATCATATGCCAAAAGCTAGTAAGTTAATGAATCTTATGAATCTTTGGCATATCATACTTATATCTTATTTCATAAATTTGAATTTGACCATAGTATCTTTTTTTGGACAAAGCGTCACCAAGACTGGTATTTCAAAAAAACATTTTGAGAAATAATGTATTATGCCATGTTCAGAGGGTTACAGCAATGTAGAGTAATATTATATATAATTTGCATGTGAACTTAACACCAAGATACACATATGAAATAAGACAATCAAACAAAATATATCAAGTAGTTTCAGACTATGTGTCAGATAAAGTGTAAAATTAGTATTGCTAAGAGCCCAGAAGAGTAAGACCCCAATAAGCTCAGTTACTCAAGGAAAACTTTATATAATTCACAATAGTTTTGAAATTGAAATTCTCCATATTTTTATCTTATGCACTCTATCTGTAACTTTGGTACCTACCCCTGGATAAATAAAAATCACAGCAGTTAAATAAAAGGCTATGGATTTGACATATATATTCATTTAATTGTCCCACAACTCTGTAAGTATGTTATTTTTATTTTTTAAACTTAAGTCCCAAAGGTTAAAGCTAACATGTATACCTAATACATGGAATGATGCTTAAAAATGGTTGAAATGACAAATATTGTTATGTGTATTTTACATAATAAAAAAGGGAAAAAACATACTTGTCTAGGTCATATAAAGTATGTGAAATTCGTACAATGACTTCTACTCCAGCTTCAGTAGCCAGTTTCTTAATGGCTGCATCTCGTTCCTTTCCAAAGGGCTCAGAATCATACTCAATTGAAAGTTTAGTAATGTTCCATTCCTAAAATATGTACACACATTTTAATAATTACTTTTCTATTATAACAACATAGATTGGAAAAGAGTGAATATTTCAAAATTTCCATATCAAATGGTTTACAATAATCGAACTCTGAATATGAAGCATATAATTTTTGAGTTCAAATATGTAAATAAGAAATGCATACTCATTAGATGCAAGCATTGTGCTTGATTTTATCAGACCAGTCAGCATTATGCTTAAAACCTGCTTCCTACATTAAATGTGTTTATATAGCACTTTTTCAAATAACTCACACTTGAATCTCATTTGATTCTCAAAACAATCCTTAGGCTTGGCACTTTGGCTGGTATCTGTATCTTGCAGATCAGGTTATTTAAAAAGTTTAGTGACCTGTCCAAGGTCACAGTCAATTTGCTGAGGCATTCTATTTTATAATGCTTCAGTTTTGATAATCAAAGTGTTAACTGTGGAAAATATGAAGGTAGTAATAATAATAGCAGCTACTTATTGAGTGTCAGGTATTATATTAATAAGCTGTTCATCTCCTTACAGTGATTTTCAAAGTGGAGAATGAATTAATGAAATACTTTCTAAGGGTAGTAGTAAAGATTCTTAAATTATAAAATTTATTATGATATATCATATACAGGGGGAAAATCATACATAATGTTATCACTGTTCAATTGGCTGTATTGTAACACACTGTAATTTTCCAAACCCTCACATATAAGACAAGGACTGCCCGCTGTGGTAAGTTGGAAAAAAAAAAATGAAAAAAAAAATTGCTAATAATATTTCAGTGTACTTCTTTATATTTGTACATTTGTTTAAAGTATTTTGGGCATTTGTCTCAGAAATAATTCCTTGAAAAACAATTTGTTGATAAGCTGACAATGGCTTATAGCTTCTGGGAAAACTAACAGTTTAATAAAGAAAAAAGATTTAACTATTTGTAACTCATTTCTTTCACTCTCTGGTTTTTACCATACAACTTTTTTATTAAAGAAAAAAAATCCACACAATTTTCATTTTAAAATACATCATTTCCCCATACTTTATACAAATGCCTTATTTACCAAGTATGTAATCTCTAACAAGAGGTTATTTTATGCAAATATCTTTCAAGTTACCTTGAAAAGTCTGGGGAACACATCTGCTGGCTGTCCACGAATCACAAACAGACGAGAGTTTAATTTTCTTAGATTGGCATCAAGGTCTTCAAGACATTGAAGCAAAAATCTAGAGAGGAGGACATCATTAAAAGTCTTAAAAACATGTATCTGTATTTAAAAGATACAATGTATTACAAAATCATTATTATTCTAAAGGTTAAAATGCTGACCTATCATCATAGTACCTCTAACATGTAAATTACATGTAAATTACTGTTTCCAGAAATAATACTTAACATATTTAAAATTATAGCACAAATTTTCAGTATTATATTTTATTTTTTAAAAGATTTATTCTATTTCTGCATATGAGAGCTGGGTGTAGGCCAGAGTTGTGGGGGGTGGTGAGAGGACCTACCAGAGACAGAGTGGGTAGTAAAATGACCTACTACTGAAATACACTGCTACAGGGAGCAGTGTGTGAGACAGGAGAAGTCTGCCTCACCATGTGGGACACCTCCCTGGCCGGGGATTGAACTCCTGCTGCAGTGGCTGCAATAGCTTCATAGTGCTGTGCTTTAATCTGCTGCAGCAGGGAAGGCTCTAAGTATGTTATTTTCCTTCTATGTTACTGATGTTTTTCTTCCACAGTATGCTGCTATTGCTTATAGATATAATCAATTACATTGTTATAATTTCACTTAAAAATTAGAGTTACCATGGGCTAATATAGAGTCTCTTTAACTTTGTACTCAAATAGTAGAAAACATTTGCAAAGAAAAAAAAGCAGGATGGGGAAAACATACAGTAATGTCCTTTGACACAAGCTATGCAATGTCTATGGTCTGACAGATTCCAGGTAGATTGGAAAAGCTCTGAAAAATCAGACTTTCCACTGCTAACTTATGTTATTGTGACAGGGTGGTCCCTAGGAAAAAGGGAAGTTCCAGGTTCCCTGCCCCACCCAGAAGGAGAGAGGAGCTGAGCAGAGAAAAAGGAGAGAAAAAGGAGAGAGAAGGAGGAAATGAAGCAGGATGGAGAAGGAGGAGACCTAAGGAAGCCACATGGAGCAGCAAACATGTGATGAAGAAACCGTGCTCGTTTCTGGACCCTGGACTGGTGAAGGCAGATGTGGTTGAGATACCTGTAGGGAGGTGACTATGGCAGTGTTTATATTGATTTTGATTTTGCTCTTTTCCTCCCATATTTGTCTGGCCATTTCTGACCCTTTTCCATGGGTCCAGGCTAGAAGGTACTTTAGTCTTGTGGCAGCTTTCAGGCCTTGCTTTGGGCCAATCCCTTTTGGGTTGACTTTTGCCCACGAGGGGATGGGTCACTTCAGGTGTTTGATTTAGAAGTTATTTTCTTTGTGTTCCATATTGTATATTTACTGTATTAAAGTCCCTTTCATTTAAGTTTTGTATGTTTTGTCTTGTTGCGGCGGATGGCAGAACCCACTTAAAGCAGGCAGGTTTGGGGGCTTCAGGGGTGCCTCTCTCCCCCTGTCCTGGAACAGATTTGCTGTCCTATAACATTCTGACCTCCCTTTTTTGTGTAATCATAATAATAAAATATTCTGAGCAACCTTCAACTTACAATTGGATTGCCTCAGCCTCAGAAGGCGCTACCTGGCCCTGACAAGCAAGTACTGCACCAGGGTGAGAAATTCCTCTTGAAGTCCAAAGTCATTAAACAACTGGCTGATTAATAAAAACAAATGGCTGTTCCTGCAAAGTCTCTCACAGTCAGACTGAGGAAAACTCAATTCTTATCACTCTATCTCACATAGCCTTTTATTCACTTTCTAAATAACCACTCAAGCTTTCTACCATCTAGTCTTTGGATACAGAAATTCACCCAAGTCGCCTATGTAGAGCTAGTCAGGTTTTCTACCATCTAGACTTCAAGAAAACGCACTTAAAACCTTTTAACAAGTTTTTGAAGAACCTTACCTTAATTTGATTTACCAGAAATTTCCTCTTCCTGCCCTCACTTACTTTACCCCCTAGGATGTCTCTATGAGAATGAAAGCCTTTAAGTAATAGATAATGTTTAAGGGACTTTTTTGGTTAATCTTCACTGTGGTAAATATAGTAATATTAGTCTTAAACTTAGTGCATCTATGTACCTGTTTTAACCTTGACAGATTGATTTTTAAAATGTTATAATCTCAACTGAAGGTCAAAACGACCCCAGACTATTCTTAGCAAAAAGGTGATTGTGATCTCACCCATTTCATATGCTAATGTCACCACTCGGCCTGCCTGAAGTGTATAAAATAAACCTCTGCTGAAGGCAGAGCAGAAAGACTTGCACCCAACTCCCATCTCCGTGTCCTCCTCACGCCCGCTCCCCTTTTTCCCCTTTCCCCCCCTTTTCTAGGAATCTCTGCTCGCCGACGCCATTCCCACCTTGAGACCCTGCCTGTTCTGCCCCCCCAATAATCTGTGATCAGGGACAAAGTCTCCGACAGTCCTTTGTCACAAGGCTTTTTGCACTGACTTTTAAAACTATATGTATGTGTTATTTTGATAAAATAAAATTAATTTGTATCCATCTTCTTATATACCCATACAAAAATAATTGGAGGATACTTACTGAGCTACTGATAATGACTACCCTTGGGAAGTAGAAATTTATGGTGGGGTTACAAAAATAAGTATATTTTTTGTTGACTTCATAAAAAACACAAAATTAATAATTAGATACATTCTTTCAAAGTAGAACAAAGCTGGTAAGTACTATATCTACTATAAGCCTATTTTAATACATAATAAACATCTTGTCAAAGCAACAAGATATAGAACCAAATTTTGTGATTTCACAGTATTCTATTGTATGAACATCATATAGTTTACAAAACTTAGCAACAAATTATCCTTCAATTAATTCTGAAAGTTCTAATTCCTTCATTGGTACAACTAGAATAGAAATAGGACCTATCTCACAGAATCGATGTGAGAATTAAATATGTGCAATTCTTACAACAGTGCCTCACTCAGTGTTAAGCACATTATATAAGGGTTATCTATTATTTTCCAGTCCTTTACTCCCTACCCACTTCTATTCCTGCCACAATTCTAGTCCTAGTTATCCTCTGCTGATATTATTTACTGCAATACCTTAAAATAGATCTGCCTATCAACAATCTCTCCCCACTCTAGCCCATTTTAAGCACAATGCCAAATCTTTCTGAGGCATACTTTTTTGTACAAAGGTTTTCAAAGATTCATTCTCTGCAGAATAATGAACAAATTACTCTGCTTGGCCCACATTTTATGGTTCCAGATACATTTCTTACTCCTTCTCTTCCCCTTCCACCAAACCAAACTACTTCTCTTTTCCCAACACATTCAGTCTCCTAGAATTTGCTCTGTGCTCTTTTCTTGGCCCAGAATACCTTTCCTAATTCTCACTCTTCATGTTCGTAACCTACTAGTTTTCAATCTTCCATCTGAAAGTAATTTTGCTATCCTTTGAATTATCAAAGGACATAATGTATCTTATCCTAGGGAAACTTTCAGACTGCCCCCATATCATAGGAATCAGAGACAAATATAGATAGATAGCATCCCCACCTCTTGATGGATTTCAAACTAAATATCCCTGTCTTATTACCAACCACAATTTTCTTGTGTTTTGGTTTCTACATCTGACAATAAATTTCATTGTGTGTCTTACATAATTTCACTGAAAATATTAAAAATAGGAGAACGTGACTTATTAGGGCTGTCTTATACCACTGTTGAAAGGACTGGGAAATTACCTCATAGAAACATTAACATTTGGTGGATATTCATAGATATTAAACAGATATTCATATAATTACCTTCCTTTGGGAATAATCTGTGCTTCTGAAAATAGCAATATGTATTTCTATATGTAAATGAAAACAAAAAGACAATGAAATACAGTAGATAGCTACACCTATATAAAAATCAGCTTTATTAACTCATAACTTCCTCAAATGTGACTTTGAGTCAATGAAGAAAATATTTCTAGTGACAAAGCAGATATGAATACAATGTTCACACACACACAGACACACACACACACAGTGGGAGGGAGAAAAATAGGAGGGGAGGGAGAGAGCAAGCAAGCAAACTTACATGCAAAAGGTACAGTAAAATTAAGACCCTGATCAACTATACTCTAGGCATATAATCTTACCTTGATAATACCATAAAATCAAACCTCCAATACCCCAGGTTCTAAATACTGATTCATTAACAATTAAAATTTCTTTTTAGTGCTTAAAAAATGTTACTTGAAAGTCTGCTATACAAAGCTTAACCTTTCATCTTTTACCCTTAACTGAAAAGAGATCTGAGTTCAGATTTGATGCATTCCTGAGAACACACCAATTCATCTTTTTAAATTACAAATGCACATGGTTTAGAACAGGCATTGAATATGGAATGGGATGTTTTAATTTAACACATTGAAATTAAATAGGGTATACTGTGAACAGGAACATATTTTCAGATTGTCTCCAATTTGGCATTTATATAGTTTTCTTGAAACTATTCACCACTTGAAGGCTCATTTAAATAATAACATTAACCATAAGGAACAGGTTGGTTTTAAAAAGGCTAAATGATAGTAAAACTCGTTATATCCCTTTGTATAACTGTTTTGCTTACAAAGCACAGTGCTCATGATATTGACTTACAATACTAATTACACCACTTCAAAATTAAAGAGATGTCAAGTGAGGAAATATATTTCATCACTTTAAACATTTTAAGAAATTTTTTCCCCTCCAGGGATCACTACCTTATTGCTATTAGAAAAAAATGATATGTAGTGAGCTTCCAAATGATGATTTCAACGTGAGTCAACAGAAATAGTTTCTTTAAGTAGGTCATTGCTATAGCAACCAGCAGGCGTTTGTGTGTACTCCCAGTCACAATGACCTACTTTCCAGCCCATGGAGAACAGCCTGTAGATAAATACAATTTCTAGTTGTCTATAAAATAAGCTTTAAAAAGGCACCGGTAAGATATAACATAATCCTACTGATCCTGAAAATAAGATATCATCAATTAACATGTATCCAAAAAGTGCAGAATAAAACCATCTGATTCTGTGCTTTAGTTTATAAAATATGTGCACAATGATGAAAAC